TGAACGTGCTCTCCATTCTTAAAAAAAAAAAAAGAAAAAAGAAACAAGGCCAGATGAATCCGAGGCTCCAGGGGCTCTCCGAAGGAACAAGGAAAGCTGAGTCCGTGTGTCGGAGGCAAACTGTCCAGGGTGAGTTATCCGAGTTAACTCCTAGATAGAATGAGAGGTTTATTACAAGGTAAGTGAAAAAACAAAAAAGTCCTAATTTAAATTCACATATATTTAAAAGCAATGGTAATCACAGAAAATATTTAGAATTTATGGCAAATTTTTTTTTAGGGAGACATATCTTTTTTTCACAGACATTGTTTAGGTTTCCCATTGCGTGGTTAAGATTTCAGGTATTTTTGTAAGGTTTTAAAATTCTTTTCAGAAAGTACACCCACTTATTACTGAAGCCAGGCAGACCATTTGTGCAGTTTCCCTCTGGCTGCTGGCTGGTGTCTGGCACACGTTAGCACTCAAAACAGCGCTGGAAGAAATTAATGAGAAGGGATCCAGAAGGAGCCATTTGAGGGAGGTAAATACAGCTATAGTTCTGATTTGGCAATTTAAGGACTACTTAAATATTTAAATGCAGGGGTCAAGGAGGCAGTTGGATACAGCACATCAGGGCTCGGGGGAGAATTTCTGGCTAGGGATGTGGACTAGAAATTCATCCATTTGCACTACTTATTACAGTCCTGACAGTCAGCGAGATTACCCACATAAAAGAGGGCTGGGACTGAGCACTGGAGCAAGCAGACATTTGGAGGTGTCCTGGAGGGGAAAACAAGAACACTGTGATAGGGCAGATGATGAAGAAGGAGTGATACGAATGGATGTGGTATCCAGGGAGGTTTAGGAGACAAACCCTCACGAAGAAAAGAAGGGTGATGCCAACCACGTCAAATGCTGTTGAGAGACTGAGTGGGAGGATAATTAAAAATTATTCACTGACTTCAGCCTCATAATTGCCATTGGAGACTTTAATAAGTCTGAATGGAATACATTGCGGAAAGAATGAGTTGTGCAGTGGAGACAGCAAATGTATGCAAAATACTTTGCGATGTGAGATAGTTCAGGATACAGGTAACATATGGAGAGTGGGGTGGAAGAGTGCTTTTTTTCTTTTTTTAAATGATGGCTGTTTTTAAGGCATCTGTGTGTCCAAAAACAAACAAAAAGGACGGAATCAACACAGGAAATTAAAGATACGGGAGAGAGAGACAATAATCCAGAATAGTCTGTTGGAAAACAAGGACAATTCAGCGGAGGACACAAGGAGAAACAATTTTTCATTGTTACAGAAGGGAAGGTTACCGTAAATTAAATTATCATGCATAAGTGACATCGAATGATCTGAATCATTAAATCATGAAATGCAATCTATAATACAAATAGAAACAGAACAACATAACACATTATATTAAAAACTATGTAAAATTTATATGGATAAAGAATTGAAGGGAAGCTATGCTATTTCATTCAGTATAGAAGCTGCTTATTTGACAATATTTTTACCAGCATTTTAATCAGATGTTACTCTTCTTCCATTCTTCTGCAGAGAGCTTTTGACAAGTTATTTAAAGATGAAGTTTTGTAGGCATAATAAAACTGATTAAACAGTTCAGTAAGATTAAAATGAAATTTAATTTTTCTCCAAGTGTGACTGACACGTAAAATAGTGGATTTCATAGCAGGAAAGGATAAGGAACACAACAGAAGTACTTGTGGTAAAAATGAAAGAATAGAATACTTACTTTCATATTCAATTTTCATTTAAACCATTTCCACACATGAAATTTGTTTCTAAATCTAGAAAATAAATATCAAATTCTAGAATAAGTATGATGCTAACTTCCAATTTTCCTTTTTTCCTATGACAGATGCTGCCCAATTTTTACCAGCTCATTAAATTTATGGTAAGATAAATCATCTTGTGAGTATATTTATCTTATTTTTATTACACCATAATTCTTTTGCTGGCTTAATTCATTTTACATGGGTGCTTCAATTTCAAGGAAATAGTTTATTTCTTTGATCAAGGGTGTGGTCCCATAAAAATTATCTTTTGTTCTTCAGTGTAAAAGGGACTTTAATCCTAAGTGGAGTCCTAATTTAAAATAAACATACAATCTTTATTTGTCTTTTTGTAAAAAAAATAATAATCCTACCTGGGTGGATTTTACCAATGATTCCCTAATTCAGAAAATCTGAAGTAAATTTTGTCTATCCCTTAAAGGCCACACCCAATGAGGCTGAAAATCTCACATCTTCTATAATTTTCTCATATTATAAATATGTCTCCTCATACTCTTTTTTTTTCCTTTGCAAAATCAGTGTCATTTCTTACAAGGAACATTGAAGCAGGATTTGGGCTCATTGCCTTCAATTTATATTTCTTTCTAATCTAGAGTAAAATAACATTTTTAAAAATTTCACATTCAAAAGAGATTCTGGAAGCAACTTTTTTTTTTCTTTTTTCCTCCAGCTTATTTGAAGAACACTTGGCAAATAAAAGTATATATATTTAAGGTGTATAATGTGATGATTGGATGTATGGATACACCATGGATCGATTACCAAGACCAAGATAATTAACATGGCCATCACTTCACAATGTTAACTTTGTGTGTGGTGAGAGCACTGAGATCTACTCTGAGCAGCTTGTAAGTGTACAATACTGTGTTATTAACTATAGTCACCATGTTCTACATGAGATCCTCAGAACTTATTTTTGTAACTAAAAGTTTGACCTATTTCCCCCTCCCGCAGCCCCTGGCAACCACCATCCTATTCTCCATTTCTATGAAGTCAGCTTTTTTTTTTTAATTCCACATATAAATGATACCATACAGTAAATCAATTTTTGATAACCTTACTCCTCTGCAGTGCTTGAAGGAGGCATATTAGGTGCCTGATACATCTGATATGACTTGGGGAGATTTCAGAAGACTTAGCATCTTTCCTTTAGATGGTTATTTTTCTTTGCATGTTGAAAAGAAAGTATTAGCAGCAAAACTGAAATCTAAGTCTTACTTTTCCAGTGGAAGTCCAAGAATGAAAGATTGGAAGGAAAAAATGAGAGAAGGAAAGAGGAAAGGAAGGGAGGAAAATGATTACTAAATACTATAATGACAGACCTACTGGCAGACACACTAATGATGGGAAAATCTGTGGGAAAATATGTAGGTATGGAATACTTTTAGCAGGCTGAACCTGTTCTGTCTAGGATCAACTACAATAAATAATCATGGAATGTATAGATTTACATGCTATTCATCTCTACAAAATGTCACCTTATATAATTATCAGAGCATAAAATGGAGATGTTTGATTACCAAAATTGCATCATTCTCTGTAAGTGATGCTCTGTTTGCAATATTTAGAGAGATCCAAAACAAAAATCCGGTCCAAAGAACATTCTTATGTGGACAGACAGGATCTAAGATTGATGTTCCCTGCTTTTCCTGGAGCTCAGAATGACCTATATCATTGAATTTATTAGTGAAGTTAGACACCGGGTAAGTTATCTGCATTGTATGTGTCTGATTGGATAATTTGTTATCTTACATTCATAGATAATAAAATACGGAGTGTATTTCCTTTTTATCTTGACCCTTAGGATAAACACTTAAGGAATTGGTATGATGGGGTGCTTGGGTGGCTCAGTAGTTGGGCATCTGACTTTTTTTTTTTTTAAAGATTTTATTTATTTATTTGAGAGAGAATGAGAGAGAGAGAGCACATGAGAGGGGGGAGGGTCAGAGGGAGAAGCAGGCTCCCCGCCGAGCAGGGAGCCCGATGCGGGACTCGATCCAGGGACTCCAGGATCATGACCTGAGCTGAAGGCAGTCGCTTAACCAACTGAGCCACCCAGGTGCCCCAGGCATCTGACTTTTGATTTCAGCTCAGGTCATGTTCTCTGGGTCCTGAGCTCGAGCCCTGCATGACATTTGGAGGCTCTGCACTAAGTGGGGAGTCTGCTTGAGATTCTTTCTCTCCTGCTCTGCCCCTTCCCCCACTCATGCTCTCTCTCTCTCAAATAAATAAATAAATAAAATCTTTTTAATAAAATAAACCGGTATGCTGTTTTTCTGACTCCATTCCAAACTTTTACCAGTAAGTAGGCACTTTATACACATTGATAATAAAAAAAGAAGCAAAAAAGGAAATAACAAATTGAGTGTAGCAATTGGATTTGGCCAACTAGAATATAATTACCAACACATTCCCCACCCACTGTCACTAAATCAATTATTTGGAGAATATGATTTTTTTTCCAGGTGACACAAAATATTTTTAGGAAATCAATTATAGTACTGCAGCTTCTCAAATTATTGATATGTATATATATATATTATGCAGAACACATAAACACACATTATGAGAAAGAGATTGTGGAAACTCACCCATAGAATAATCTTCACTTCTTTTCATAGCAGGTATAAGGAGTTGATTAATAAATATATTTTCAATTTACATAATGGCTTTTAAATTATTAACGTTTTCATAAATCCCTTTCTGTGGCATTTGTTTTGTTTTTATTTACTGGTAAATGGAATAAATACTCGCAAATACAACGTGTAGTTAGTGGGACATATTGGACAGACTCTCTTGGGGCAATAGCTAATTATAAATTTTCATTCTTTTCTTCCCTCGGGACTGAAAACCAACTAGGTATTTAATTTTATTAAACATTATTTCAAAGTTTTCAATAAAGATATGAATCTTTAAATTACGTATATGCTAATTAGAGTGAGTATCTAATCAGAGAAGTAAAAATTACTCATGTTAAGTTTAGGAGTTTTTACAATTATTTCTATACTAAAATTATGTATATTTTTTTTCCAAAAATTTAAGCCCTATTTGAAATAGACTATTTTCATTGACTTTCTTTTGTTACATCAATTTGTAACTATTCCGGTTAATTTATGTTCTCTATTTAAAGTTAGCTATAAATCTAACCCAATCCCAATTGTAATAATTAAGTGCAGTATTTCCTAATTACTACTTCTGTCAAGTAGAAATTATTTCTGTAGGCCACCAGGAAACATTTAAGTGTTAAAGGCCATTGCATCAAATTATATCTATTCTTTGAGTCTCTATTCAAAGCATTTAAATGACTTATTCTCATGTAATTTTGATAGTTTTAATTGGAAATTTTTTTCTGTTAGATTCTAAAAGCTATTTCCTCTTTTTTGATTAAAAGAACTTAAGTCACAGTTTCCAGTTTCTTGGCCAAATATGTCATTGTATATTTTTTTATCTGAATGCCAATTTTAATTTAATTAAAATTCTTTTTAAAAGAGGTTAGTCCAATGAAAATGGAAATTATCTGAAATATATCTTAGTTTAAAGATGCCAGTTTCGGCAATAAAGACATAAAATTTGCTATATTAATAATGTATTTCTAGATAAGTAATTATTATTTTACTCTCCATGAGAATAAAACTTAATATATTCAAAACAATGACAGTCAAAATATCATCAGGATTTTCGCAGACTTTAACAAGCTCATATTAAAATTCCTTTAAAAATTCAAGAGCCAAGAATTGTCCAAATGATTTTCAAATATAAAATAAAAAGGACAATGTTGCCATGAAACTACACTTATATCTAGATCTAATGAAGTTTTATAATTATGCATTTCAAAGAAACAGATGCAAAATGAAAATGTTTCTAGTTCACAGGCCCAAAACTTGCAAACTCATCTTTACTTTCCACTCTCGCTCCAGCCCGTTTATGACTCACCAAAATACTTTTATCTCCACCTTCAAAATACAAATCATTTGACAATTATTTCACTACCTTCATACCTGGCTTATTAAAATAGCTTCTTCAAATCCCTTCCTGCTCCTGTTCTCGAATCCCACTTCTCTACTGTCAACATTGTGGTCACAGTAATCCTTCTAGTACGTAAGTGTGATTATCATTCTTTTGCTCAAAACCTTTATTGGCTCCCTATTTCTCTCAAAGTAATAGAGTTGTTAAAAGTGTCTACCAAATGCTGTCTCAATCTTTTCTAGCTGTATTGTCCATCTGGGTGTTCTTTAAACACATGAGGCACATTCTTGCCTCAGGTCTTGTCTTTGCTGTTCAATTTATCTGTAACTCTTTCCCCTCAATAAACACATGGCTCACTCCTCATCTCCTTCATGTCTTCACTTAAATATAATTCTCTTAATGATGAACATGCTCTCCATTCTTAAAAAAAAAATAAAGCTAATTTCTTTCATTCTCAATTCTTTTTTGACTTATTTATGTCTGAAGCTTAAATTATAATCTTTTTAATTAATTATTTTTATTACCTATCTCTCACCACAATAACATCAACTCCAGGAGAGCAAACATTTGCCAATTTTGTTCACTGTTCCATTTCCCTGGGATGTAAGCAAGCCTGTCACATAAAAGACAAGATTGTATGGTGGCAGAGATTAAGTTTCTGTAGGAACCTAAGTTTGATAAGGCCAAACAGCAACACAGATGGTGAAATCACAGAGATAAACCTTTGAAAATTCAGGGGCAACTCACTGTGCTGCACGTGTCCTATGAACCAACTTCCCACAACTCCTTCAGTATTTTTCTGCTTGCTCACCCTCATGCTTAAAATCCCTCCCACCTTTGTTTCAGTAAGGTTGAATTCAATCTCTCTTCCACATTGTATAGAGCTGAATAACATCTTCTTTGACTGTATAACTCTGTCTGGTGCAATATTTCTTTCACAATGTGTAGATGAATGGTTTTTACAGAAAAGTGTATATAATAAAAAAAAACTAGAAACCAAATTTTCCTGAAAAGAGGGATGGACAAATTTAGTTATATAAAATTATGTAATAAATTTCTATCCAGTAAATAAAATGAATAAATTAGATTGAGATTACACAATATTGAGTAAACCGATAGGATGCAAAATACGTATTGAAAGTGATATATATATTCAAAACATATCCATAATATTATATACTATAATAATACAAAATATATCAACAATATTATACACTATAATAGGTTCATATATAGAAGAATACAAAAATTTGGATAGAGAGAGATACCAATTTCAATATACTATCCCCTTCAGCCCCTACCTTCAGGAGAGAAAAAGATTAAAACATGGATAGAGAGATAATTAGCAACATCTACAAAATATCTGGCAAAATCTGTAATAAAAAACAATCTTGAATCTTATGAAGAAGATCAGGGTTGATATTTTAACCTCAGTGTTTACATGGGTTTCTATATTTCAAAGATTCAAGATTTTCCCATTTGCATAAATAAAAAACAATATGAATAAGATTTTTCAACCTCTGGTTTTAGATTTCAAATCTGTTATCACTATGAAATACATATTTCAAAAGGAAGTATAGTGGAAGACACAAGGAAAATGTGCACAAAAAAGCATTATTAAAACTAGACAAATTTATATTCTCTGTATAAAATATGTGAGAGTTGCAGGTGCTTTACTGGGCAAATCATTCAATTGCTCTGGGCTTGGCTTCCTTGACTAAAAACCAAGTGGGTGGATGATCGGGCA